GCACGTGTTACGTTCACATAAAATTCGCTCTGTAAGTTCATAAATAGACGGTAGGCAGCAATTCATACTCGCGTACTTGTTAACGCGTAAAAGAGTTACCATGCGGTCTCGCTTCGCGTGTACTTGAAGCGAGACACTACCGTGTCTCTTGATAAACTATACCAAGTATACCTTTGAATATCCATTTCCTCTAGGATTTAAGCTATAATATAAGTATACTGTAATGTATAAGTATACTGAACTACAATAAACTATAAGAAGTATACTAAGCTCCACTAAACTAGAGAATGTACAACCCGCTTGATCAAGATTTTCTTATCTGTCGTCACGGTCAAGAGTATCTTCAATCAAATCGGTTCTCTTTCCGTGACAGACAGCAAATACCTGCGCGTGCTCACGAAAAATCCGTTCTGCAAACCTATATATAAGAGAGAGCGAAAAGGGGTTTACGACATGGTCAAAAAAATAACAAAAAGAAACAAAATCCTAGAAAGAAAGAAAATAAAAATGGTGGGATGGTTTAATATCAGAGGACGATTAAAGGAAAAGATTAATGATCATCAATTTGAAAAATGTATAAAGGAATTTGATATAATCAATATGATAGAAACTTTTGTAGAAGAAAAAAACTGGGAGAAGCTAAAAAATCATCTTCCAAAAAAATTCAGATGGGACTGTCAATATGCCAGGAGAGAAAAAAGTAGAGGAAGAGCTATAGGAGGAATTATTACCGGTATAAAACACGACATTGAGGAGGAGGAGGAGGAGGAGGAGGAAGATGATAAAGAGAAAACAGAAGGCATAAAAATAAAAACAGTAAAATTAGGTAAAGAAAGTTTGAGAATAGTAACGATATATAATAGGAAAAACGGGATAGAAATAACAAAAATCATGGAAAAAGTAAAAGAAAAAATACCTGAAGAGAAAGAAGGAAATCTTTTGATAGGAGGAGATTTCAACGCTAGAATAGGAGAAGAAGGAACGATGATTTGGGAAGATGAAAGACGGTCAAAGGATGAAGTAGAAAATAAATATAAAACAAAAGGGCGGAAACTTCTCACAGAGATGGTAGAAAGAGCATGGGATGTGTTAAATGGAAACATAGAAGGAGATGAGGAGGGAGAATATACTTACATAGAAAAGGATGGTAGTAGATCGGTAATAGATTACGTTATAACAAATACAGAAACAAGAGAAAAGATACACAGGATGGTCGTTGGAGAAAAAACATTTGAATCAGATCATTTTCCACTCTGTGTATATATTCAACTCGAAAACGAACTTTAATCTCTGCGGAGAACAGCTTCGCAATCAGCAAAACAATGCTCTTAAAAAGGTTTTCGATTTATTAGATTAATTTTTTAAAAACATTTTCGAAGATTGCGATAAATACGATGGCGGGGTGAAATATAATTTCTCCATTGCAATATCGACGAAATTAATAGGTGAATTTGAGTGAAACCACCTTCACAGTATTCCTTGACTTTTCCTCTATCACCTCATCAAGCGGCGAAATTATTCGATATCGTCAACGCGTTCTATAGCAATTAAAATGCGGCCTGCGTTAACGACATCGAATAATTTCGCCGCTTTGTAAGGTGATAAAGGAAGAATCAAGGAATACTGTGAAGGTAGTTTCACTCAAATTCACTTATTCATTTCGTCGATATTGCAATGGAGGCATTATATTTTAAGTCACTCCTCATATTTATCACAATCTTCGAAAATGTTTTTGAAAAATTAACCTAATAAATCAAAAACCTTTTTAAAAGTATTGTTTACTAATTAGGAAGTTGTTCTCCGGAGAGATTAAAGCTCATTTTCGAGTTGAATATATACATAGATTGGCAAATGATCAGATTCTGTTCTTTCTTCAACGACCATCCTGTGTATCTTTTCTCTTGCTTCTGTATTTGCTATAACGTAATCTATTACCGATTCCCTCGCCCCTATGAAAGTTACTTCTCCCTCCACAACTCTTTCTATTCCCATTCAATGTATCCTATCCTTTTTCTTCTATCCCTGTAAGAAATTTTCTTCTGTCTGTATTTTTATTACTTTATCCTTCGTTCTTCTTCCTATCTCATCTCTATTAGCTTCCCAAATCATCATCTCTTCTACTCCTAACATATGTATACAATGTATACATGCTTCGGTGGTCGAATTGGTAAAAGACGCCCGTCACAAAATGTATCCAGATATGAACTCCGATTAGGGTAATATTTTTCGTAATAAATTCTTTAGTGATTTAATAAGGATGCTTATTAACATCAAAAAGTTAAATCGATTATCGATTCAAATATGTGATTTACTGTTTCAACAAAGACGTATTTTAAAGACTAACAAAAAATCGGCGCGCAATTTACTGAGTGTGAAAAAAGTATACAAAATTTAC